TCAAGTGACCCCAAGTGCTTTCTACATGACTTGGAACCCAGGATATAAGGGATGGACTCCCTATACCTTGAGGTCAAGAACCTGGGACCGTCCAGATGTTGCTGGACTCCAACTCCCATCAGCCCCCACCCACATGCTGTACGTGGTTGGAGATAACAGCTCAATTGTAGGGCACAATAGGCATCCAGGATCTCCAAGGTTTGACCCCCTGGCATTTCCAGATAAAAAGATCACGTAGCAGAAATCTTGCCTGCCTGAGAGCCTGGATAACTGCTACTGGCAAGAGTTGACAATACTGAGCCGGATGGATGAATGTCTGACTTCTTATAAGGCAAACTCCCTTTTTCCTAGATCCTGGAAAGCAGGTGAAACTTTGACTTGTACGTTTCCATGTGTGTTTGTGTGTTATATGCAAGCAATGGGAGCCAATGTTGCTTGTATGATATGCAAACATGGAAGGAAGGCCACCTGTTCATGGGAGCAGCCAAACTGGCTGAGGAACGTAGAAATTGGGAGCTGGGAACCTGTGGCCCTCCAGATGTTACTGGACTCCAGTTCCCATCCGACCCAGTCAGGGATGATGTGAGCAACATGTGGAGGACCACAGCTTCCCCATTCCTGTTATAAAGGGCATGACTCTGGTGTGAGTCTGTAGGTCCCCGTCTGCTTTCGGTAATAGTGATGGGCTACATCACAGGTCTTCTGCATCAGTTGCCACAACAGGCATTTATTACATGTTTTACCCTGTTAAGACACTTGGGTATTTTTTTTTTAAATTACAAATGCAAATAATAACAACACCCACCAATCCAGCACAGCCAAGCACTCTGCAATTGCCTGGGTGGTTAGGGGGTTTGAATCCTCTTACAAGAAAGTGTACACAGAAGACAAATGGGTTCCCAGAAGCATTCTGTTGGGATTGGGAAAGGCCCATTAGCCTGGATCTTTATTCAAATGCAAAATGAGATTTTAGCTCTAATTATTATTACTGTCTCGAGAAGCTCTGCTTAGGCAGTGCTCTTAAGAGAGGCCTGGTTTTCATGTTTCAATAGCCCTTCAAGAATAATAATACCGAAGGAAAATCCAGGGAGTCTACACGGCTTAGAAACTAAAATGTTCTGAGGACCCTGGATCTTGTGGCAGTGGGTTCCAGGTACTACAGAAGGCGTAGGGGACCTGTCACCCCTCATATGTTCTAGATTCAGGTAGGTAGCCGTGTTGGTCTGACACAGTCGGAATACATTAAAAAATAAAAAATTGTCCAGTAGCACCTTAGAGACCAACTAAGTTGGCCATGCACACTTCTTCAGATACCTCATATGTTGTTGGACTCCAGGTACCATTGACCTCAGTCACCACGGTCAATGGCCAGGAATGATGGGAGCTGTAGTACAGCAAAGGTTCAAAGGGCCAAAGATTCCTTACCCCTGAAATATAAGCAGATCCACTCCAGCACCTAGAACTCCTACAGTGTGGTCTAGTGGCCAGAGTGTTGGACTAGGTCAGGGGTCAGCAACCTTTTGCAGCTGTGGACCGGTCCACCGTCCCTCAGACCATGTGGTGGCCCGGACTATATTTTGAAGAAAAAAAGTGAACGAATTCCTATGGCCCACAAATAACCCAGAGATGCATTTTTAAGTAAAAGCACACATTCTACTCATGTAAAAACACGAGGCAGGCCCCACAAATAACCCAGAGATGCTTTTTAAATAAAAGGACACATTCTGCTCATGAAAAACAAGCTGATTCCTGGACCATCCGCGGGCCGGACTGAGAAGGCGATTGGGCTGCATCTGGCCCCTGGGCCTTAGGTTCCCTACCCTTGGACTAGGGTTTGGAAGACCAGGGTTCAAATCGCCACTGGGCCATCAAGCTCACTTGGTGACTTTGGGCCAGTCTCTGCCTCTCAGGATTGTTGTGGGGATAACTATGCATGCCACCTTGAGCTCCTTGGATAAAAAAGGTGAGATATAAGTGCAACAAATAAATAAACAACAAAACAAACACTGGTGGTGGTATAAGAAGCTTATGCAAGCAATCTGCAATCTGGCTTTTATTTTCCTCAAAAGAGCTCAAGAATACATCAGGGTGGGGAGCCCCTCCCATCCCCACTAGGTAAAGGTAAAGGGACCCCTGACCATCAGGTCCAGTCGTGACCGACTCTGGGGTTGCGGCACTCATCTCGCTTTATTGGCCGAGGGAGCCAGCGTACAGCTTCTGGGTCATGTGGCCAGCATGACTAAGCAGCTTCTGGCGAACCAGAGCAGCGCACGGAAACGCCGTTTACCTTCCCACTGGAGCGGTACCTATTTATCTACTTGCACTTTGACGTGCTTTCGAACTGCTAGGTTGGCAGGAGCAGGGACCGAGCAACGGGAGCTCACCCCGTCGCTGGGATTCGAACCACCGACCTTTTGATCGGCAAGTCCTAGGCTCTGTGGTTTAACCCACAGCGTCGCCCGCGTCCCATCCCCACTAACCCCACCAAATTCCCTCAGGGGGAAAGTGGCTGAAGGGGTGACAGCCATTCTCAAGCTTTCTTTCAGACACACACTAAATGCCACACTCTCAGTAAATGGCCAGCCCTCTGAGATTGGCTAGGATGAGATAATGACTCAAAATAAGGTTTGTGGCTGGCCAGCGATATGAATCCAAATCTATCTATCAGGTGTCAGTCTGATACTTAAACCACTCAGGGTTGGCTCAAGATATTTTGCTGCCCGAGGCAGACCAGCAAATGGTGTTCCTATGCCCACAAATTGAAGGTTTTTGGTACCCAAAGCCAGTAAAATTATTTGGGCACCCGAGGTGGAAAATCCCACAAGCGCCTCTCTCCCTTCTTGGCAGTAAAAATAGAACAAAAAATTAAATGACTCTCAATTTGCTTCCCTTTAATGACACCGAGCATCAGAAACCTCACTCTGCCCAACGGTAGGGTTGGTCCCATGACCACAGCGTCACAATGGCTCTTGATTTGCCAGCAATGGATACTTAATACACACAGCACACGTATTTAGGGGCAGGCAGACAAGCACTTTGTACACGACCCTCCCCAACAACTGTATATTAAATGAGAAGGTGTATATTGGAAAGTTCCTTTTACCAAAGGGTTTAGGATTAAAATAATGTAGAGAAAACATCATGGAAGAAGCGTACAAAGCCTAGCTGGCTATAGATCTTGGGTCTGATTAGCAGCAAATTCTTCTAGATAAGCCCCATTGAAATGAACAGATTTGCACCGGCTGGCATGTTTTGATGGACACTTATGCAACACAACTTGTGCGACTGCTTGACACTCTGTGATATTCTGCAGTGCCTCATGTGTTCCTTATGTGAATTTTGTTCTAAAAAACCTCAGTTCCAATCTCCACATTGCAAATGACCGGAGTACAGCATCTTTCAGAAGTTCTGACTGGTCAAATACATGGGGACAACAACTGATGATAAACAGGGCGATTATCAAAGGCATCCGCTTTAGAATTTTTTTTTTTTTGTAAGTTTGCTGACCTCCCCAAGCCTTCCCAAGCCTTCGAGGGCAGGAAGGGTTATAAATCTAATGACTAAATGACTCATGGGGCTTAAATGAGTTTTATATCTCACATAGATGTGCAGGTATAAGCAGGAAAAAACCACTGCACCCCTGATAAGCAGAGTAAAAAATGCCACCGAAATTGAAATTGAATGCTCCAGTCTTCAATTGCCGATACCGGATGACTGTCCTGGGGCTTGGTTACTGGTGCCCCTTAGCATATTGCCACAGTCTGTTAATAACCTTTCATGTAGGCTGTTAGAGTTCATGGTTTTTAGAGTGACAGAGAGTATTAAATGCTTTATACGAAGCATGGAAGGGATGGGTAGGGAACGTGGACTTAGCCAGATGAAAATGCCACCAAGCAATTATTTTAACACACAACAAGAAAGTTAGCGCAATTTGGAACGCCAAAATGTCATCTCGGAGTGCCAGCGTCAAGTGAGAAACTCACACTAGATCCCTGTGGAAAATGTAAAGCAGTTATTTGTGCCTGAATAAGGAAGGCAGTCTGTGGTAAATAGTGGTAACAAGGGACCAAATTCCACACCTTCCTGACAAATTAAAAACAGGCAAATCACGTGGTCCACGTGATATCTAACTGAGAGTTCTTAAAGAACTCAAATGTTAAACTGCTGGTCTTCTAACAAATATCTGTGATTTGTCTCTAAGATCAGTTTCTGCACCTGGAATGCAACCAAAGTAACACCATTTTTTAAATGGATTCAGGGGAAATCCATAAAATTACAGGGCTGTTACTTCAAAACTGGTAGAAAGCATTATTAAAGGTAAAATTTTCAAGCATAGAGAATAACAACTGCTGCTGATTTATTTATTTATTAACTTGGGGTGGGGGGGGAGGTAAGAAAGGGCACAACAGAGGTGTATGAAATGATGCATTACATGAAGGATGTGGATAGAAGTTTCCCTCTCTCTTTCATTATCCTATAATGTGGGGTCATCCACTGAAGCTGAACGTTGGACAATTCAGGGCAGACCAAAAAGAAGCACACAGTTAAACTGTGGAACTCTCTGCAGCAGGATGTACTGTATTTTTCGCCCTATAGGACGCACTTTTTCCCCTCCAAAAACGAAGGGGAAATGTGTGTGCATCCTATGGGGCGAATGCAGGCTTTCGTTGAAGCCTGGAGAGCGAGAGGCGTCGGTGCGCACCGACCCCCCTCTCTCTCTCCAGGGTTCAGGAAGCTATCCGCAAGCCTTGCGAGCCCGGCGGGAGTTCCCACGGGCTCGCAAGGCTTGCGGGCAGCAGCCTGCCGCCCGAAGCACGGGGCGCCCTCCGGAGGGCGCCCCGTGCTTCCTGCAGGTGTCTGCAAGCCTTGCGCGCCCAGCGGGACTTGCCGTCGGGCTCGCAAGGCTTGCGGATAGCAGTCTGTTTTGGGGGCTGGGGTCGCTCGGGCTTCCCCCACCCCAGCCCCGCAGCTGGGGGGGGGGGAATAATTTTTTTTTATTCATTTCCCCCCAAAAAACGAGGTGCATCCTATGGGCCGGTGCACCCTATAGGATGAAAAATACGGTACTTAAAGCAACTCAGACTGCTTTAAAAGGGGTTTGGACACATTCCAGGTAAGTTGCTTTGAACCTTTGTTTTAAATAGCAACCAACTAATGCAATAAATAATAAAACAATAAATAAGGCAATAAGTGGCTAGCAGTTGTGATGGATATGTTCTGTCTCTACTGTTGGGTACAGCATGCCTCCGAAAACCAGTTGCTGGGAATCTCAAGTAAAGAAAATGCTGTTGTGCTCACATTCTGTGGGCATCTGCTGGGCAGCTGTGAAAACAGGAAGCTGGGCTAGATAGGCTTTTGATCTGATTCTGTATCACTCTTCTTCGGATGCATAGGAACATTGGAAGTTGACTTACGCCGAGTCAGCCCATTGGCCCATTTAGCTCAGTATTGCCTACACTGACTGGCAGTGGCCCTCCAGAGTTCCAGGCAGGAAGATTTGCCCACCACTACCTCGAGATGCCAGAAATTGAGCCAAAGGGCCTTTGCGAATACAGAACCTTTGTGATATCTCCCATTACCTTAACTGTAATGCTTTTCAGTGAATTCAGTACGCAGACACCTCTTGGCTATTTACAGACAATTCACATATGCACCGTTTGATGACCATAGCATGGAAGAGATGGTGTGCACATGTGAATGTTGACATCACACAGACACAGCCTTCTTCTTGGCATAGACACAATGTTATCCAGTGGAGTGAGTCCACGCATTCAGCTGCTGGCTCATCAAGTCCTGGTTCACACACACACAAGACTTGACATCTCTAATCTTGGTTGATGTGCACATCTCAGCTGATTGTGTGGCCTCACTCCTCTGAAAACTATTGCACTGAAGAGGCCACATGGAGGCTCTGTATGCGATGACACAGTCTCACACATAAGCCACCACTTGATCCTGCAATGCGTGGGCAATGCCACCAGCCAGCCTTGAATAACGTTAAATAAGTTGGAGTTCTTGTTATTAAATATACCAAGAAAAAAGCACACCAAGAACTCAGGCCAATGTAAGTTTCAATAGCGGGAGTGGGCAGCTCCTGGAATCCTGGCAGCCCAGCAAAGCCCACTGCTGACACCTTACCCATGCCCCCCTTAAACATTCATTGCTTATAGCACCACACCATCGTTTTTATTTTCTACAGGGACCCTGATGCAATGTCGCTTTGGGGTACTGTGGGGTATTAAGATGGCAGGCCCCAGTGCAGATTAAGGACATGTCATTTTAATTCCCCACAAAGCCCTGGATTGACACTTACAAATGGTGCTGTGGAAAATGGAAAGGGCAGCTCCTAGACCTTCACTGGGGGGTGGGTCTGCCAGCCAATGGCAATCCGAATTCTACTGTTATTGCATGTACACCAAGACCACATCCACACCCTACATTTAAAACAATAAATGTAAGCTACTTTAAGCAGTCATGGCTTCCCCCAAAGAATTCTGGGAGCTGTAGTTTGGTAAGGGTGTTGAGCGTTGATAGAAGACTCCTGTTCCCCTCCTATAGCTACAATCCCCAGCGTGGTTTCACAATCAATTATCCCTCTTCCCAGGGAACTCTGTTTAAAGTGGAATCACAGAGCTTTAAATGTAGGGTGTGAATGTGGCTCTAAGCAACGCAGTTTCAATGGACATCAGCCATTGAAGAATTTCCATAAACACCAAAAGGGCCATTTTCAATCACTCTGAATCCCATGTATGCATTATTTTGAATATTATCTCTTTTGTCTTTTCGTCCAAGACTACGACATCTACAGAACGCAAACATACCATTTCAATGGGCTAGGAAAAGATACTCTTCAATGGATGGTGCTTGCTATTTTAAGCTTCATTTGGTTTCATGTAATGACAATTACGTTCTTCCTCCTTTGCTGCCTCAGAGTGCCAAGGACGTCCTAACTATCTACAGCAAGAGCATCCTCCTCAACTAACGATAACTCCATGTTATCGTTTGTGGAAGATTTCACTCGGAAATTAAAGGAGCCGTAGAGCTTGGCCGATTCCTTGGAGGCTGCAAACCTGCTTCTCCTGTAGAGCTCGCCTTTCCACATAGAGATCATGAGCAAACTGGACAGTACTACGCCCCCCAACGTTAAAAGGCAGAGCCCAGCAATCACACAACGATCCAGGTGAGCCCCAATCTTGGCGCTCTCATTCTCCAGCCGCTCCATTTCCCTTGCCGCCACTGTGCTGGGATCCACGGTCACGTCCCTGGGGACCACGTAGGAAACGATCACTAGCAATATCCCGCTGACCAGGAAGAAGATGGCGCTGACGAAGCCATAGTCTACTGACTTTCCTCCATCAGCTTCCGAGGCAGCATCATCGTTTTCCTCGGATATCAGCGAGGGTGGATCGTAGGGCCATTCGAGGGGCATCTCTCCAGCAGGATCGGGATGGGGAATGAGATCCTGGCCTTGGCAGCAGCTCTTGTGGGCAAGATGCCCTGCGTAGTCCAGATTGTTGACATTTTCATCCACAAAAGTGAAGGACGTCTCCGATTCGCAGCAGCAAGCTCTCTGTTGGGTTGCCTCCTTTGCTTCTTTGGGAAAGCTGGGATGGCAGGTGATCTCACCTGTGGTTGTACATTCTGGGCATGGTGAGGAACCAGGGGTGAAGGAAAGAGAGGCTTCAGCAAGATCTGCCCTTTGGATGGCTTTGCAGTGCCTCTCGCAGCACTCAGCAGCCATGGATATGGTTGCAGTCCTTCCTACACTTTCACCGGGCTGTCCTTGACCAGGGGGAGTAGGCACACTCCAGTCCATATTCTGACACTGATCGGACTGACCACCCTCTTTGGCGAGGTACAGAAGCTCCACGCATGCCATCGGGAAGCCCCCTTGAACTAGCCGTGGTTTACCATTCATAAGCCCATGCTTCAGTAAACAGTGACAATTCCAACCTCGCCATCAAGCGCGAAAGATCAGTTGCCCAACTGAAGCAATCTACTGTTCTCCAGCCACTGTTTTAGCTTGGACACTGTTTCAGCCACTACCCAATTAAACAAATTTCCTTGGACAAGCATTCCTTTTCAATCTGCAAATAGAAAGGGGTAGAGGGAGAAAACAGCTTCATCATCAAGATATATTATGAGGCTAATACAGACTCAAACTCATTATTCTGATTTTGTCCAGCGTGTGGGTACATTTGTGTGCATGTGTGTGCGTGGCAGGCAAACAACAAATGCGATTGTTTTAATCAAGCACTTAAAGCCGAAATCCGCTTGCCGAACTCAAATCTATTAGGAACTCTAATCAACCTTTGACACCGCTATCCAATTACAGAAAGAACCCATTGGAAATAAAGGGGAGGCATAAATATATACCCATAGCTTCCCCCTGAAAGGCAAAGACCATCAAGTTTCAAACGGAGGAAAGTGCAAACTCAAGAAAGAACTAAACTGGGGTGGGGAGTCCACATTCAAATGCGGAGTCTAATTAGGAAGAAGCCAGCAAATCCCTTGTAGCTCGGCAAATCCAGGATCTCTATTCTCTTGTGGAAATCTGATAATCCCAGGAGGAGGGAAAGGAGCACTTTCTGAAGCAGATCTCCAGCTCCGATTAAAACACACACACACACCCGCCACGCTTGCAATGAAATTATGCTCCTCAAAGACAGAGGATGCAAAGAAACGGAGAGGAACGATGCGCTGCATGCAAGGCAGAGGGAAAACTTGGAGCATGAAAAAAATAAAGAACAACCCACTGACCTTAAAGAAAGGAGGTGAGGGAGGGAAAAAACACCCAGCATGGACTTTTATCTATCTATCTATCCATCCATCTATGAAGCAAAATATAATTATTATGAATTACATCCCCGGAGAGCTGCTGCCTTCTGGGCGCCCGTGCCAACAGACTGGGCTGCGGGATGCCCCCCAAAAGCCGTGTCACACAGCCCAGGCTGGCACCACGGAGACCTTTCCCTGCTTTTTCCTCCCCGGGGTCTGCGTGCAAACTCCAGGCGGACGCGTTTCTAAGGGTCATCAGGAGGCGGACTCGGGTGACCCCGGCAGCTGGTTCCCCTTCATTCCCCTTCTCCGGACATACCTTCCCCCGCTCAGTTTGCGCCCACCCGGCGGCGGCGGCGCGGCGCTGCCCATCCCGCTGAAGTCTCGCCAAGAAGTCCTGGCGGCCGCGCTCCTCCCGCACGCTGCTCCGCCCGCCTCCCGAGGGGCTCGTGGGGGGAGGGAGGGGGGAGGAGCTCGCGGTGCATGCTGGGAGACGTAGTCCTGCAGGGGGATTAGAGGCGGGCGGGCGGCAGGGTCCGGAGTTCCTGAGTGGGCAGCCCGGGGAGGTGGTGGCGCGGACAGAGTGAGAGGCCGCCGGCAGCGCTGGTCTCTCGGCGCGTGGGAAGCCAATGAAGCGACGTCCTTCGAGCATGTGCAGAGTGCCGCCCTCCCCGCCCGCAAACAAGCGAGTTAGCGCCGGCCGCAGAGGTTTAGGATCGCAAAGGGAGTTTCGCGCAGGAGCGAGAAAGCAGAGTTGCCGCCGGGGATGGGCGCAATTCAGCAAGATCCGTTCAGTATTTCATTGTGGTTTCCTTACCTCTCCATCTCAAGTATTGCTCATTCATTCATGATGATAGAATCGTAGAACTGTAGACTTGGAAGGGACCCCAAGGGTCATAAAGTCCGACCCGCTGCAATGCAGGAATCTCAACTAAAGCATCCGTAACAGATACAGTGGTACCTCGGGTTAAGTACTTAATTCGTTCCGGAGGTCCGTTCTTAACCTGAAACTGTTCTTAACCTGAAGCACCACTTTAGCTAATGGGGCCTCCTGTTGCCGCCGCGCTGCCGGAACACAATTTCTGTTCTCATCCTGAAGCAAAGTTCTTAACCTGAAGCACTATTTCTGGGCTAGCGGAGTCTGTAACCTGAAGCGTATGTAACCTGAAGCGTATGTAACCTGAGGTACCACTGTATGTCTATGTTGTTTTGCACTCACGTCAGTGGCAAAGCGGCTCACAAACAATAAATAACAGCGACATAATAGAACATCACAATTATAGAATAAATAACAAATCATCAGTAGGACGACCAACCCTCTCCTACCAAACACTGTTAACTGCAGCAACTAAAAAAAGGGGAAACGAAACAGCAAAACCACAAGAAAAGTCATATTATATGATTCACAAAGCACTACAGCACCTTTTCCCTCACTGTTCTTCCTCTGGAAACAGCCCCCTTATGAAGGCTGGAGGGTGGGGCAAGGCAGGTGGAAAAAGCAATGGCTGTTTTATCAAGACACAAAAGGCAACATGCAGGCGCATTTGGACATTTGGAATGCACACCTCTTGTTAGTTTCTAACAGGAGAGAGAAGCTGGTCTGGTGCATATTGAGCCAACCACTGCCTCTGCCTAACCTACCTCACAGGGTTGTTGGGAGGATAAAATGGGGAGAGGGAACCATATCCCTGAGGTCCTCTCAGGAAAGATAGAATTTTTCATGCAACAACAGCCGCAGTGATTTATACATTATATATTTTTAATAAATAATAAAAAGGGGACTTCCTTTTTTATATATAAAAAAGTGGGATGTTCATTATTTCCAATGAAGGGGACTTGTGATGGATATGAGAGAAGAAAGAGCTAGTGCAATGAGATGCAAGATCAGTAGCCAGTGTGGTGTAGTGGTTAAGAGCGGTAGCCAGTGTGGTGTAGTAGTTAAGAGCGGTAGTCTCGTAATCTGGGGAACTAGGTTTGCGTCTCTGCTCCTCCACATGCAGCTGCTGGGTGACCTTGGGCTAGCCACACTTCTTTGAAGTCTCTCAGCCCCACTCACCTCACAGAGTGTTTGTTGTGGGGGAGGAAGGGAAAGGAGAATGTTAGCTGCTTTGAGACTCCTTAAAGGGAGTGAAAGGCGGGATATCAAATCCAAACTCTTCTTCTTCTTCTTCTTCTTCTTCTTCTTCTTCTTCTTCTTCTTCTTCTTCAGTAACAGAGAATCTGTGGCTCTTCAGATACTGTTGGACCGCCATTCACAATGCTAGCTGGGGCTGATGGAAGTTGGGAGTCTCAGCAACAAGTTGATGGCCATAAGAACAGAAAACAAGCCTTCTGGGTGGATCAAGTCAATGGTCCATCTAGTTCACCATCCTGCTCTCACAGGGGCCAACTGGATGTCTGTGGGAAGCCTGCAAGCTGGACACAAGCATAACTCTGCCCACCACAATTCCCAGGAACTGGAATTCAGAAACATAGTGCCTGTGGCAGTGGAGGTAGAACATAGCCATTGTGGCTAGTAGCCATTGATAGCCTTGACCTTCATAAACTTGTCTAATCCTGCTGTGAAGACATCTAAGTTGGTGCCCATCAATGCCTCCTATGGGAGTGTTCCATAGTTTAACTGTGTGAAGAAGTATTCCCCCCCCCCATCCATTCTGAACCTTCCAACATGATGGCCATGAGTTCTAGCAGTGTTAGAGAGGGAGAAAAAAATTGCTCTATCTACTTTCTCCATGCCATGCATAATTTGTTTTTGTGTCATCCTGACCATATGTTCCCCATCCCCGTGGTAAGTAGACCACACCCACAAAAGCATTATCTTCATAGGCTGGTGACTCTGATCCTACATTTTCACTCAGAGCTGCAGTGCTCCAAGTAAAGGCCTTTCTGATTCTCACTTTGTTTTCAGACTGTCAGTAGTAAAGTGTTCACAGACGGCTTTGTGCTCTTTTATAACTGCGTAAATGTGTTCTGCCAAAGATGTCAGGTGTGGAGATGGTGAGAAGAAGAAAAAACCCACTGCATAGCAACATGGAGGCTTCTGCAACCACAAATATAACTGCCTAAAAGATTAATCAGGCAACGTGAAAAGGGAAGCAACATTCATTAAAGAGCTGGAAAACTTCCCCACCCATTTTTATTTTTATTTTACTCTTCTTTTCATTTTGCTGAGTTTGCACATGCACGTTTGAGTGATGGCTTGCATGTGTGAAATGGTTGCTGCGCATCAAAGAAGGCAGGCAGAGCATTCATTATCTGTAATACTTTTTTGTGCAGGCAAGCCATACGATCACAAGAAGCACATAAAAATATTATTTACTGTTGTCCCTTGACACAATTAGCTTGCAACCTGTGACACGTCCCACAATTCTTTCATGGCTCTGCTCATCGCTACCACTGCTGCTGTGTTACAATATTTTCTGAATGACCAGCGTTCTGAGTGAGTTGTGATGAGATCCTGGAAGACAGAGCTATGTGTCTGATGTAGCCTGACCTGTGTCTACACAGGTCCCTCAGGTATCGTGGAGGATGCTGTCCCACAGTGCCAGTGTTGTTGTAATATTAAACTTACATTCTAATAAGCTTCTATATGCCCAAGGCAACAAAATTTCTTCAGCCAGCCCTGGACATAGGATCAGTCTAGGCTATGAAGTCCATGTGGGTGACCTTCTGCAGTGAATTATGTGGGATCTTGGGTGTGAGGTACATGGGAAATTTCTTTTCTTTGGTTGCTCCTGTTCTGCAAGAATTGGTGAATGAGGGAAGTACTTGCAGACACACCTACTGCACCTGTTTACTTCAAGTCCAAGGGGAATGATCTGAAGGAACCTGAAGCCATCACCTCTGAAGTTAAGCAGGTCTAGGTCTGGTCAGTGCCTTGGATGGGAGACTGCCTGGAAAGAGCATGTATCCCTCTTCCATTCCATGATGAAAGAAAGGAAGGCAAAATATAAATGTTAATAAGCAGATGATTTGGACTACAACTCCCATCAGCCTGAATACATCTACAGGGCACCAGTTTGAGGAAGATGAGTGTAAGGCAAGGGCTTTCCCACTGACTGCAACCTGATCCCATTAGCTGGTGAATGAGCCCACTATGTAAAGCATATACTTTGCCAACTGAGCTTTAGACCCCTCTCCCTAAGTGGTTGCTTGGTATATAATAGCTAGCAGGTACACAATGGGAAAAATATGCCGCACTGCTTGACTTGGAGATTGTCAGTGCATACAGCATTAGACAAATATTTGGACAACTTTTTTTTACTAAAGACAGTTGGATTGCTGAATGTTCAAAGTGTATTACAGTGACAGCTCTATTGATTTGCAAATCAAACAGGAAGAGAGAGGAAAATAACACCACACTTCTCTGGACACCTTAGCTAATGCACAGCCTCCCTTTATCTACCACGCATTAAGAAACCCGTCAATATTCTGGAGGGGGAAAGTGTGTGGTATAGTGCACCAGAACTGCCAATAACTTCATTGCAAAAGGCTTCTTTTCCCCATTGGTCATCAAGCAGGAACACAAGTTCAACAATTAGGACACGCTCAGAAGGAGAATCGTGCTAGTTCAGACCAACAGCTGTTAGTTCATCTTCCAGTTTCCCTGCAGTAGCCAACCATATGCCCATAAGCAGGGCATGGAGGCAACAGGCCCCCTTGCTATTGTTCCCCAGCAGCTGGTATCCTGCCTCTGATATTGGATGTGTATAACCATCATGACTCTCCTTCCTTGGAGGTTTTTAAGCAGAGGTTGAATGGCCATCTGTCATGGATGGTTTAGCTGAAAATCCTGTGTTGCAGGGGGTTGAACTAGATGACCCTTGTGGTCCCTTCCAAATCTGCAATTCCATGATTCTGTGACAAGTAGCAGTTGATAGTCTTGTCCTACATCCTTTAGTTTAGAGGGACACATTTTTATTTACCCAGGCTTTTGGTGTTTACATTTTTGAGGAAAGATGTATGATTACAGCATCTTCTGTGGCATTCATCTTTTAGTGGGGCGGGACTTTTCCTTTTTCTTGTATTGTTAGATGAACACTTTAAGAAATGTTTTGTTTTGTAGGCTGTTTCTCTCTCCTCTCTCTGTATTGTTTTAACTGAGGTTACCTGTTCTGTATTTTATCTTGTTGCGAAGTTGCTTAGAAGGTGAGGGTTTTTTTGGTATATAGTGACAAAGCCATAGGATAAATTTGAAGGGGTCCAGGGTGGAGGAGACATGGGGAATATTCCATTGCACAAGCAAAAATCATTGCACTGATGGAACATTTGCCTTAGCATTATATTGGGGTCTACACAATAACAACAACACAA